TCAGGAATTTTAATGATGGATTTGTTTGATATTAATGACTTTTTCCTGCTAATCAGATTAGATTTTTTTCATATATTTGTTAGTGTCCAATACTGCAAGGTGCTGAGAGTTTCCAGAAAATTAGTGAGCATTCAGACTCTCAGGTGGTGCTCAGCTCCATGCAGGACTAGGTTGAAAAGCAAAGGATATTCACTTAATTTACATAATGAAAATTAACACCTATTTATTCACATTCCAATTAGCATAATGACAAGAAAAAAATATTCCTCAGAAATACTTTTTAAGGATTAAAATAGTAAGCAGTAGGATGGTCACTTAATCTCAGTTAACTCATGTGATTAACTCAAAAAAATTAATTGAGATTTTAAAAATTAATCGCTCTGTTAAACAATAGAATTTAACAATAGAATTATTAATTCAAATTTATTAAATATTTTTGCATGTTTTTCTACATTTTCAAATATATTGATTTCAGTTACAACACAGAATACAAAGTGTATATTGCTCACTTTATATTATTTTTATTACAAATATTTACACTGTAAAAATGATTAAAAATAGTATTTTTCAATTCAACTCAAACAAGTACTGTAGTGCATTCTCTTTATCGTGAAAATGTAACATAAAAAAGTAAAAAAAATTTGTTCCATAACTGCATTCAAAAACAAAACAGTGTAAAACTTTAGAGCCTACAAGTCCACTCAGTCCTACTTCTTATTTTGCCAATCGCTAAGACAAACAAGTTTGTTTACATTTACGGGAGATACTGCTGCCTGCTTCTTATTTACAATGCCACCTGAAAGTGAGAACAGGCTTTTGCGTGGCACTTTTGTAGCCGGCATTGCAAGGTATTTATGTACCAGATATGCTAAACATTCGTATGCCCCTTCATGCTTCAGCCACCATTCCAGAGGACATGCTTCCACCCTAATGATGCTTGGTAAAAAAATAACGCGTTAATTAAATTTGTGACTGAACTTCTTGGGGGAAAATTGTATGTCTCCTCTTCCGTTTTACCCGCATTCTGCCATATATTTCATGTTATAGCAATCTCGGATGACGACCCAGCACATGTTCGTTTTACGAACGCTTTCACTGCAGATTTGACAAAATTTGACAGAATTCAAAGAAGGTACCAATGTAGGATTTCTAAAAATAGCTACAGCATTCGACTCTGAAGTGCTGTCCAAAATCTGAGAGGGATGAGGTGTGAAGCATGATGTCAGAAGTCTTAAAAGAGCAACACTCCAATGCGGAAACTACAGAACCTGAACCACCAAAAAAAAAAAAATTTAACCTTCGGCTGTGGCATCTGATTCAAATGATGAAAATGAACATGTCCACTCTGCTTTGGATCGTTAACATGAAGAACCCATCAGCATGGACGCACGTCCTCTGGAATCATGGTTGAAGCATGAAGGGACATATGAATCTTTAGCACATCTGGCACATAAATATCTTGAGATGCCAGCTAAAACAGTGCCATGTGAACACCTGTTCTCACTTTCAAGTGACATTGTAAACAAGAAGTGGGCAGCATTATCTCCTGCAAATTGTAACCAAACGTGTTTGTCTGAGCAATTCACTGAACAAGTAGTAGGAATGAGTGGACTTGTAGGCTCTAAAGTTTTATATTGTTTTATTTTTTAATCCATTTTTTTTTTTACATAATTCTACATTTTTAAGTTCAACTTTCATGATAAAGCGATTGCATTACAGTACTTGTATTAGGTGAACTGAAAAATACTATTTCTTTGTTTTTTACAGTGAAAATATTTGTATTCAAAAATAAAGTGAGCAGTGTACACTTTGTATTGTGTTGTAATTGAAATTGAAAATGTAGAAAACATCCAAAAATATTTAAATAAATGATATTCTCTTATTGTTTAACAGCGCGATTAATTGAGCGATTAATCACTATTAAATTTTTTAAATTGTTTGACAGCCCTACTAAACAGAAATTGATAGTTTATTGCATCTTTCCAATTATCCTTTTGACTAAAATCCTTAGCCAGATGTAACAGCAGTTGGCTATAATCCTTATTCAATCAGAGAAAATCTTTATTAGTGGTGTAACAGAGTGATGTGTAAGGCTATCAGGGATCATCGTACACCTGTTTAGAGAACAGATGTCATCTCAAAAACCCATGTGTGATTTACCTAACCAAACCACAGTAAGACAATCCTCTTGAGTGTTTCAAGCAAACGTAAAACCACAGAGTATGATATTCAGGAAGGGCTAAGTATAGAAGTTAAAAGAATGTGTTTATTAGCAGGACATAAGGACATACAAAGCAAGAAGCAAAAAATTAATAAGAAAAATTAAAACAATTGCTGAAATTCTTGGGACTTAACTTACCTACATTTATGTTATGTCTATGGAATCATCCAAAGCCCACTGACTGAAGCCAATTAAATTATTTCAATTTGCTTTAGAGTAGGCCTTGAGTGTGCCTGGGAGGAAGGGGGGAAGAGAGAGAGAGAGAGAGTGTGTGTGTCTGTGTGTTGAGGGAACAGTTGAGATAAAAAGAATAATGCATTCTAAGAATTTAACTCCCTTTAACCAAAAAAATTATGAATAAGTGTAAAAATGATGTTTAAGGGAACAGGAGATACCTTCATCAACTTCAGAGTTTCATAGTCTTAATGTTCTCCTATAGAGCTGTACGGCTCCTCACTATGTATACACACATTACTTCTGTTTCACCTATATACATTTTCTTGTAACATAGATGCAAAGATTGTCTTTTTTATTCTCTTCAAAAGAGGTGGATTCTGAAGTATTCATAATTCAATGTCCCAAAGCAATTTACAAATCAATAGATAGAATAAATGCACTGCAGAAAGAAAATATTTTTCTCAAAATCATATAATTGAAGAAAATTACCCCACATGAGTAAAGTTGTTACCTCACCCACAAAATGTTTGCATATCTGATATACGTCCCTATTTTCCTCCTCTTTATTTTTTTAATCTGAGAAGGGATTTAGATTCACAGCACACTAGACCAATAAACACACAATACTATGGACCAAGGGGACTAAGAAAGCTAGACACCCAATTCCAATTGAAATTCAGTGGGAAATGAGTTCCTGTCTACTCTGAGTGCCTTTGAAAATCCCAGCCCAGATGTTTAAAACTGGATGCAAGAATTATGCTTCACAAATCCCCCATTTACACATGCAAAATGGGGATTTGTAACCTAAATGCCCTTTGCATGTTCAAATATTGATTAAATAAAT